CCAAGGGGTGGTTATTCTACACACTTATCTTGTGCCTTAATTTTTCTCAGTGCACAGAGTCATCCACAGAGATTCCAAGAGTCATTGGACTGCCATTGTTTTTTTTTGTGAAAAACTTGATGTTTGACAACCCGGATTATTTGACAATTCAAATGTTTTGTGTACCTATGATAAATTTCTGAAAATCTGCTGTTATTCTCTGAGTGACTCTCTCTCTCTCTGAGTTATTCTCATTAGCCATGAGGAACAACAAAACAGGCAATTCAACCCGAACCGAACCAAGACGATGACCCAGAAGAACAACAGCTGGACAAGCTGATACCGGACACACTGGCCCTTGATAAGGCGATCGGAACGCATCAGATGGCATTGGAAATCAACAGCCGCTGGGGAAAGCTGCTGCTGATATTGCAATCGCTGGAACGGACTCACGTTATCGATGCCGTTTGTGCGGTTCGGTTTTTACAATTTTTGGAAAGCAAGATTCTTGGCAGTTAAATAGAGAAAAGCGTGAAGCTAGTCATCGATCGGATACGGGAAAAGCTCTTCCGGGGATCAAAATTTGCTGCCGAGATCAACGATAGCAACCTGTCAGCGATTCGGGACAACGCGGACGCACGGTTTGAGATGACCACGGATATGACGCCACTGGATGAGAAGAAACGGGACGAAGCGTTTAAGTTGCTTACATCAGTGGATTTGAAGACGGAGAATGCAACGAAAGTGTTCCTATTGCAAAGGCTGTGTCACTGAGGAGCAGTTGAATGCGTTCAAAAAGTGCTACCCACAGAAGCAACCGTTTCGTGATGCATGTGTGAGTGCTAACCACGTTTTGCGTCCATTGCTGCAATGGAAGCGCTCTGACCCCCGTTGGCGAATCTGCCATACAATTAAACTACTTTATGCGGCTCCCGTTCTGGTGGAGGAGGCAACGAAAATCAATTATTTTGTTTATTATACATTTTTGCCAAAACATCAGCCTTATACATTCCATAAGACGAACCGCATAGGTCATATAAGAATGCATAAAAGCCAACTAAAACCATCCTTCTTTGCTAAAACTAGACGGTTTCAATCTGTTCTAGTAGCAATATTAGTGGAGGATACGGTTCCAACCGTTTCTCTTCCTTCATAATTTTAGAAGAAAGCATCAGCAACAATTGATTTTTTAAATGTATGAACAACAAGCACCCCTCGTGGTTTGCTTGTCGAAACCCGAGAGCATAATACCGATACCGGGAGTACACTGGGATTAATTTGACAAGATCGTTGTTGTAGCTTTCTACGCTGATGGACGAAGGAATGGCCGGTGTAATCAGGCTAAACGTGACAACTTGGGTTCACGGCGAGCCGCTCCGATAGACCTTTAGACATTAGAATTTAACTTAACTTTTATGTGATCTTATAATTGGGATTCGCACCAACAAATCACATGAACCTTGGCCATACCTACCAACTTCAATCCAAACGGATAAGTTTTTTTTATTATGTTTAATCGACTTTCTCTGTCTGTATCGTAGCAGAGATGCTAGTTTTTGTTTTTACCTTTTTTGGTTCCGTATTCCGTTCGTCCTACTCTAAGAGCAAGCGGAGTCAATACGGGGAGAAAACGAACCACTTTTCTGTCAAACGCGAACTAGCTCGTGATTGGCCGATTTGAAGTGCGAAAAATAGAGATAGAGATAGATATAAAAGAGTAAGAAGCCAGTTGTCTCCTCTTACTCTGAGGTCCTACTCACACTTACTTGTTATGATCAGACTAGAGTTCGTGTATGATGCGTCACACCAAGAGAAAAACAGTTGAACTCGCATCACGGTTTTCGAAAGATTCCCTTTCTTTTCACTTGACAACAGAGGACTTCTACAGCAACTTCAAATGATTTCCAGCGAGAAAAAAATAAATAGCGGCTGTGGTTAATCATTATATAAGTGATTTTGTCAAATTATCTTACAAAAAATAGTAGGAATTCTCATTACTGATCGTTATCAAACGTATCCCATAACAATTTAATGCGTGTTTATGATCATTTCTTCGATTATATTTTATATCTCATTGTAATAGGCCTTTTTAATGCAACACTAAATTAGAGCGTGCCACGCGTGTTCCAAAGGAAACATCAACCAAACCGTTTGTTTACTTTAAAATATAGATTTTTCACAACGCAAATTAAAGCATTTTTCATTGAGCATGTTGCCAATTTCCATTGGTAATTGTTTTATTGTACGATTTTCCACAGATCTGAACTGATTTGCACCTAAACTATTCACAAACAAGAAATCTGGAAGATCATAACCACTAAGGCACTATTCTATTTTTCCATTTTTCTCAACAAAAATATTCCAGAAGACCAGCAGGATCCTTGCAAAAACGATACAGAATTAAATTTTTCAACTGGAGACCAAGTTTTGGAGCATCTCAGATGAATAAATGTATCAGGGAAAGTGAAAAAGTGTTCCACTAACTATGCCTCACGGCAGAAATTTCTGCTCACAACACTTTTTTTGACGTTCTCCTATTCACCACCAGAGGTTGAATCGATCGCTTAGTTTCTATTAAAAAGGCGTATACCTTTCGTGGACCTTTCATAGCATCGTATTGTTTGTTTACTTTGCACTATAGGTTGCCGGTTTGACAGTTCAATAGGTAGACTTGGCTTCACTCTTGACGTGACTCATTATACACCGACTCTAGATAAGACTATCCAATGTATGAGGTTGAAAAACTGATCGGTTCGAAAGTCCAAAATTGCGCGTGATTTGTTTTCATCCTTCCCTCGCTCACAAAGGTTTTAAGTTTCGGGAAGCATTCTTAAGACGGCCTACCGATAACTACCGATAAAAGTTTTGAGAAGCTACCGCTAATGAAAAAATAAACTGGCAACCCTGCATGTGTCCAATAAAGTTTATGCTTAAGTTCATGTTATCATATGAATATTATGTGAATTTCAGATAAAAATCATTCATTTTGTTATTGGAAAAATAGCATATGCGTTCCCAATGGAAACTATATGAAATTTTTTTTCAGTGTGCTACTTCGGACAGACATTCCCCCCTTATTCTGCACCGCGAGTGAGGTGAGATGATTCGCTGTCACTAGTGAGTTGACAAAAGTCACCGCGAGTCAGGTGACTCCCTGTGCAAATCAAATGGAGAGTCACCTCACTCGCGGTGACTTTTGTCACCTCAGTTGTCACAACGAGTCACCTCACCTCACTCGCGGCAGGTAGTGTAGAAATTTGTCCTAGTCGAGAATCATATAATTGGGACTAAGTTCTGGATTGTGATTTTTTTTATGTCAGTGTCCCTTTTCAGACAGTGATCTTAAAAAGTTCTTATTTTCAAAGTGTTGAAAATTGTTCCAACGAATACCCTATGTTTAATTTTTCACTATTCAAAATTTTACCTAATGATCCATTTGGTCTAAAGGTGTTGGACGTAGTGGTTCTATAACGCTCAGTCATTTCAGACAATTCAAGACAATTTTCAAACCAAAAGAAACCTCTTCTCGATTTGCCGGATAACGACAACAACAGAAAGATAGATGAAAATAAGTCCAGAAACCCTTATCCTGTCCGATACCACAATGAACGTAATTGAATCAATTCACTACGTGACCCATCAAAAACATCATAATTAAATTCATTTAATGCATTCAGTTTTGTTCCCCCGTAAATCCTTTTCAGCATGATAAATGTTGGCAATGCCGGTAGACAACAAACAGTACAGTGCTTACCTGATTCTATCCCTATCCTATTTTCGCAGCAGACTGCTAGTTTTCGTCTTTAAAGATGAACCTTCTGGAGTAAATGAAAAATTACAAGGATTTTGAAGAAGAGTACCTGTTTTCAAAAAAGAGATTAGCAAAACCGTGAAAGCCCCGTACTGCGATATGTAAATGTATGCAAGAAGAAACATGCATTTATTCATTGTACTTACTCATTGCCGTCCGTCCGTCCGCATCACGAGAGTCGGCGTCATCGCCACTGTTCCGAATCGCGCTGCACTTCTGCAATCCATTCCAGATGTGTACGTCCAGAATAATATATTTAATCCTTGCGGTGCCAATGGAAATTATTCATTCATTACCGCTTGCCATCATCCCGATCGTTAACGCATTTTCGCAGTGTAGCTTATATTATGCATGAATTGCTTTCGTTAGTTCGTTATTTCGTTCGTGGAATGTTTGGAATGTGCAACCGATTTCAGCATTTTGGTCCACGTGTCCGTCCATCCATCCGCTTGATGAATCCCTTGTGGTGAAATGTAATGACAGCAAAAAAATCGCATTTCATCGGACCGGCAGCATGCATCCCTTATCGCTTCTCTACCCCCCCCCCCCCCCTTGTCCCCATCATTGCATTATTCGTTGTTTTGTTTTGCCTGCCGAGCGTTCATTAATTATTCAAATTTCCTCTAGTTTTTTCGCGCTCTCACTGTTCCATTGACACATTTTTTCCCGTCAGCAAATAACCTACTTGAAAACAGTCGCTGTCAGCGCAGTGGAAAAGGGAAAAAGTGCCGTCCTCAGAGTCAAGGCGAGAATCTGCAATTGCAAACTGGGAGTAATGGGAATACTGCATGGATGGTAGGGAATGCTCTTTAAAATTAATATTTTGATCTTCAACGGAAAACTCTTCTGGCTGTCAGAATGCACTTGCAATCCTCAAAATGAGGGCACTTTTTCCATTGTCGTTGCTTTATGCTTTCATCTTGTCTTGATAAATGTGCATTTCGCTAAAATTCCTTCCATCCATACGTTCATCACTCACCGACTGAATTCTCTATGAAAAACAGCAAAACAGGCATAGTTCATAGTGTTTTTTCAAGAGGAAACAAAAAAAAAACGGTGCAGCATTCTGTGTGATCCGGAATAGCATACCTCTCTAACTGGAACTACTTAAACTCCCGTCTACGACGAAGCGTTGTTGCTTTCAAGCGGTAATCTAATTTTCCTTTAATTTTCTTTTTTCCCTTCATTCTACTCTATACGAACCGAGTAGATTGTCCCCAATCTGGTGCGAATCTTGAAAAATCTAATCCTAGCTGGATACTCGCCGGAACATGACGTCAGCGGAGTGAGCGATCCATTCCTGCAGGTGAGTTTGATAATATTCCAAATTATAGAAACCTTGCTAAAATTTGACATTCTCTTTTGTTTGAAGGTGAAAATCCTCCGGTTACTGAGAATACTTGGCCACAACGATCCGGATGCTTCCGAGGCGATGAACGATATCCTCGCCCAGGTTGCCACCAACACCGAGACGAGCAAAAACGTCGGCAACACGATTCTGTACGAGACGGTGCTGTCGATTATGGATATCAAGTAAGTGGCAAATTGCAGCGTGTTCATTCTGGATTTGTTTTCCTTCTGTTTCCAGTAGATGTAGGTACATAGGTAATTGGACGTCGCATGACGGAGGGACACTAATTGTCTCTAGTGCCACTGTAGTCGACTGACGCAATTGGTTTGCATTTCAATAGGTTTGGAATGCTATTTTGCTGTATAAGTTGTTTCCAACTTGAACTGTATACATAATTTGAATCAAGTTATAGTGCTTTGAAGACTTCCACTGTTGTCGATTTTTAAAGCTTAATTTACGTGTTTTTTTTTTGGGGCAACTCTATACGAATTAAAGTCTGTACAGGTCATTTCTGGAGTAATTTGAGATTTGAGCGTAATTGATTTTGTAAACAATCACGTCCAGGTAAACGTCGCCATTCCAAGCGACGAACAGACGAACACCAACGGAAGATTGCTTTTGTAAACAATCACGTCAATTACTGATTTCTCTTGAATAAAAGCTTAATCTCACAAACAAATTATACCAAATGATAGAGGAATCATTCCTCTACCTCATAGTATTATAACTTTTCGAGATTGAGCTTTTATTGGCGAGAAATCGGTGATTGCCTTGTTTGTTTACAAATACAAATACGCCCAAATCTCAAATCACTCCGGATTTTGCTCTGCAAAAATTGTTTGTTTACAGGCTTTTGAGACCTGTAACCAGTGATGGATCGCTCTTTTGGGGCTTTTTCATTACTTTTTATTATAGAGTGCTATCGTAAAATCCAGTTGAATGTTCAGTTAACCCATCGTAAAATAGATAGTTTAATACTATAAATCTCCATATCAAAATGCATAATTTCCACACCGTAGAGTCACACTCTATGCGATAGCACTCTCAAGTGGCTCTGGCGTGTGGAAATTTTGAGTTTTGATAGGGAGATTAATAGTATTTTACTATCTATTTTACGATTTGTTAACTGAAAATTCAATTGGGTTCAACGTAGGCATTCTATATTAAAAAGGAATGGAAAGTCCCAAAAGAGCGATCCATCCCTGCCTGTAACTATTATTATTCATAGCATTCAATAGAATATGAATATTGTGAACCAAGCTAGCCATTCAATCAATTTCGTGCGACGTATGTTTCACCTTCGTCAATCGGAACTATTTCAAAGGATGCTACTGTCAAATTAGTTACATTCACTTTATTCTGAGTTATTCTAGGCATTTGTGTTTCCAATTTGAGGATTTATCATGCAGTATTAAATGCTATTAATATTTAATATTTAATTAAAATAAGTATTTAATTTTCAAGCATCAACTCTGAACTAGAGTTGTTGGTGAACAAAAGCCAGAAATTTTTATGAAAAATCACACTTGTTTTGCGCCAACTTTTTTCTCAGTGTACCTTAGTGTGCCGCAGCTGGCACAGCAGTGCCGAGAAGTAATTGAACTGACTTTTGTTTGCTTGTGAATAATGAATTGTTTGGCAACCCGGTAGTTTGACAACTCTTGATTTTGTTTTGTTTATCGAAACCTGAGAACTCATTTGACGACGACGATTTTGGGCGGCCGGAGCCGGAAAGCGACAGCGCTCAAGAAAGTGATGGACGCTTTGTGCTATTCACAACTGTCAGATCTTCGGAATTCGAAGGCGCTAAGCGCAAAGCCATTCCAAGCGACGAACAGACGAACACCAACGGAAGATCAAAGTCATGAAGCAGCTGTACAAACCGCCGACGGTAGAGGAAATCAATCGGTTGAACGAAACGGAATATTTCTACCACTCAAATCAGTTCCGGCTGCAGGTAGAAGAGATGCTAAGCGAGGTGAAGGTGAAATTCAAGGTGTTAAATTATATTGAGCATTGGTTGGGCGATTTCCGGAAGATTTTGAGGACGATAAAAGATGCGCACAATGAACGATCTCTGAAGGATGTGGATTATGAAGGGGTTGATTTTCCTCTGGCATTTCCCGACGGGTCGCATGTTCTATCCAAGGAAAGCTTCAAATTCGTTCAGCAACGGATCCAGTCGTTTGGGAACATCTTGCACGCTGTTTCACTTTATTTGTAACATTATCAACAGTGTTATTTTTTAATATAACCAGATTTTTCAGCAATTATTAACAGTAGTATATGGTAGCATAATGAAAACGACCATTTTAACCATCTATTATCACTCACCGGCACCTTCCTCTTCTTCGTCGAACTCTACTTCCTCGTCAATCATCGTCTCCTGGTACTGCTGGTACTCCGAAACCAGGTCGTTCATGTTGTTCTCTGCTTCGGTGAACTCTATGTCGTCCGTTCCCTCGCCGGTGTATCAGTGTAAGAAGACCTTTGTTCGACGATGCGTTTGAAAATTTCCTGAATCGGCGATGAAGGTGGACGACATTTTCAAACGTATGTATGGCTCTACGACGGTAGAAGAGACTTTGTGCGATGGATCGACAGAGAACGGGTTCATGATGCGATCTGGATATTCTTCTCGAATCTTCGAGATCAGTATCGAGAAAGGTACTTTTGCTACTGAATTCCATCAACGATTCAAAAGATTCCTAATTTATCTGAGCCAGTTTCACCGCCGAGCGAGTACGTAAGCTAAAAGCCCTGCAGGCAATCGCAACCCTCGGATTGCTTACGGACAATATCCAGCACAGAATCCACCAGTTCGGTACCCTTGGTGTAGTGTCGTTTGACCTAGTTGTTACCAGAACCGGATTGTCCGAAAAGGAAGTTGTTCGGTCGGAACAGCTGTCCAAATGGTCGGACTGAATCCATAGTTCCCGGTTCAAGGTTGATCAGAACCACTCGTGGGATGGAATTTCTTGAATTTTTTCTCAAAATGCCTTGAAGATTATCTTATTTAATTTCCCTGGAAATCTTTCGAAACTCTTCTCACAATTCCCCTTTCTGAATCCACTGGAATACTACTCAGGGATTCTTTCGAAATATGCTCAAAATTTCCTGCTTCTTAAGTTTCCCTCAAACTGCTTATGGATCCTCTTAAGAATTTTCCTGAAACTATCGTCAAACTAGTTTAAATTTCTGGAAAGAATTACTCGAAGAAGTCGGTGGCAAGTCAGACCCTGTTACGGAAGCAGTTGGCAAGACTTCGAATGAAGGAAGGTACTTCAATGTGGTATCACTTCCAACAGTTCGACGACATCTTACGGCAACTCAAGACCGCTGGTGCTAAATTGAAGCAGAACGATACGGTATCCCAAACCTTTCCTGACAGCTACGACTCCATGGTAACAGCTTTAGAGAACATCAACGAAAAGGACCTGACACTATTGAAAAATGATGAAGTATTCGATTTTTTCACAGTTCTCATTCTTGCATTTTCTAGGATCCGATTCTAATTGAAAGGTCCCGCTATTTATACCCTTCGGAGTGTCAAAATTGAATTCCTTAGCAACAAAATTAAGGAATGACATCGATATTGACCATGCATCAGAACCCTAGTCTTAACCACTACGTCAAACTACTAGAATAGAAGCTAAGGAATCACATAGATGAAGACTAACTCATTTTTTACCCGAATCCTGATGAATATGGGCGTCTTAGTGGAATACCTGTATAAAGGGAGAGAGAGAGAGATGGAGAAGGATTAGTAATTTCCATTTAATTCCACTACATTATTTGCTTATCCTTGGCAGATACGCGTATTTCGTCTATAATGTGCAGACTTCTTCAGTGTCTTGTACTAATACTCGACTATTAGTACAAGACACTGAAGAAGTCTGCATATTGTAGACAAAATACGCGTATCTGTTAAGGATAAGCAAGTGAAATTAAATGGAAAATACTAATCCTTCTCCCTCGCCAGAAGGTAAGGTGAATGCAGCCGTTAACAGCAAGCCTGTTTCGTTCATGGTGAACAATATGTCAGCTTGGAATGCCATGCAGTCGGTGAGGAAGCTTAAGCAACCGTTCGTGATCGATGTGGCCAAAGATGGTGTTTCGATTATTGGAAACTACGAAGGTTTGAAATGAAGGATGTAATATTCGTTTCAGAGCTGAGAGGAATCCTGCTGTCTGTGAAGAAGATGTCCCAAGTGGGAATCGCCGTACTGTTCACAAATCATGAAGTAAAGAAGGATGGCGCGGTTATTGGAGTAGCGCATCTACGAGGCAATTTATATGAACTGGATTTATATTTGGACATAAAAGGAGCTACCGCAAATCTATGCGCATCGGACGCTGAATACCTGTGGCATCGTCGATTGGGTCACGCCAGTCAGAACATGATGAACACGTTGGTCCGGTGCAATATGGCACAGGGATTCCTTTCGAAAGTCAACGCTGTCGGATTCTGTGACACTTGCGTACTTGGAAAGCAGTGTAGAGAAGCCTTCGAAGGAACTCGTGAAAGAGCTAGTCGTCTACTTGAGCGCATCCACTCGGATGTGGGTGGACCAATCGATCTCCGGCCAGGGACGAATCAAAGTATTTTGTGTCATTTAACGACGATTATAGTCGCTTTGCGTATGTCTACGTGGTCAAGAAGAAGTCTGAAGCGATGGTGACTGTCCAGTTTGAAAAATGAATCAGCAAGCTTACCGTTGATCAAGGACAGCTCTAAGGAACAAGAAGCGTGCTAAATACAAGCCAAAGGGGATTCAAATCCAGCCAACCGTAGCCTATTCTCCTCAACGGAACGGGGTGCCCGAAAGGTTCAATCTAACGCTAATCGAGAAGGTAAGAACAATGCTGATTGACTCGAATATGCCCAAGCACATGTGGTCAGAAGCAGTGCTTACTGGTGCGTATATATTGAATCGTTGCCCGACTAGTATTGGACCGGTGTGTAACCTGATCTTTCGAAGCTGAAAATTTTCGAATGCAAAGCATTTGCATGGGTGCCAGGTCAACTCCGGAAGAAACTGGACTGTAAGAGTCGCGAGGCGGTGATGGTAGGCTATGCTCCCAATGGACACTGCTTTTGGGATGGATTACCAAGAACAATCCTCGTAGCCCGTGACATCAAATTTGACGAGAATTCATCACCATACGCAATTGATGACAGTCAAGACTCGAAGGTGGATATCTTGTACCAATTGAACAATATTGCGGACAACAACAAAAACATCTTTTTGTTGTTTTGAGTGGACCACACCGGACCGGCCAATACAACGATATGATCAGTAAACTGAAGGAAATATGATGCACTGATATAAGTTTGATGGGCGTTTGAAGGAAGTTGACGAACCGACTGAAATTTATGTTTTAGTCCTAAAATTATTAGCAAGTCATTGTGGGTTCAGAGTACATAAAGATGAAGACATAAAGAGAGCCATCGATATGATCGCCGACATTATTATGAGAACCAACCGGGAACCAGTTATTCGAATCATCGTAGTTAAAGAAATGAGAACCCTCACATAAACGTAATTTGAATTTTTTGCAAAAAGAAAGGCCACGTAAAGCGTAATTGCGAAGACAACATATCAAGAAGACTGGCAACTCTTCCATTTTCTCATACGACCGGCATAAGATAGGCACAATCGCGTCATCTGACGCTCAAAGGTAAATGCTCCGAACGAATTGGATAGCAATAGATAGCTATGATTTTAAAAGGTTACAGATAAGAGACTCGGAGGAAGAAAATTATAATTCATGTATGATGATAGCGATCAGCCGTTTCAGCAAACCGTGTTTTGTAGAGGTACAAGTAGAAGGAATTAACCTGAATATGGAAATAGACTGTGGTGCAGCAGTTACGGTTATCAGTTTGGAGACCTACAGAAAGTATTTTCATCACATCGAAGCTACAATTTGCAGCAGCCGCTTAGTTGGCAACAGCTGAAAATCTTTAGCGAGATTGTCGTCAATGTTTTAGCGAACAATGTTCAGCTGCTCGAGGAGTTTTATTCCGTTGTTCGGCAGGAATTGGCTGGATGCTTTTTATCCTAGTTGGAAATGTGGTTGGTATCAACACATTGACCAAAAAAAAAAAAACTGAATGGAATTTGGAGCCAAAGCATGCATTGGGATTTGAAGCTGACCTTAGAGGCTTAGAGAAGAAATGCCAATATTTCGTAAAGCATATGATGTGCCATTCAAATTACGGGACAAAGTTATTTAACATCTGGATTCTTTAGAGAAGCAAAGTGTGATTTCACCAATTCAGACACAATTGTAACGCTCATCGGAATGAGCTAAGGATTGTCGGCACCCGGCCAAGTAGTACGAGTTTCCCGGATTTCCGGATGTACCAATAAATACCGATTCTGAAAGCAGAGGATTAAAACAAGCGAGACGTAGCCCCATTGCAACGCGAAACTTTATGCGGTCGAAGAAAAATGCCGAATCAACTATGGAAGACCAGCGGCGAGCGCAGAAGCATTGTGTATAGTCGTGAATTGTCAAAATATCAGGTTCGAAACTTTAGGAAAATGTATGGAAATGAAAAAAAAAACAATCAATATTAACAAAATATGTGGCTGACAAATGTTCAAGCCATGTGTCAAATTTTCTTTAAACTTTTAGGAGCAACGAATTGTACTCAATTTAATGATTCATTATTATCAAACATATTGATAGGTATCGATCTTCTATCTCTGGCTAAGGCTACAATTATTGCATTTTTCCCAACCCACAATTTCTTGTTCCTCCTGCTCCTCAGATCGGAAGGTGGTCTCCGGGTCTTGGCAGTCAACATCCTGGGCCGTTTCCTGCTGAACAGCGATAAAAACATTCGCTACGTCGCGCTCAACACCCTGCTGCGAACGGTCCACGCCGACATCAGTGCCGTCCAGCGGCATCGTAGCACCATTCTGGAATGCCTGAAAGATCCGGACGTTTCGATACGGCGCCGTGCGATGGAACTATCGTTTGCGTTGATCAATTCCCAGAACATCCGGGCCATGTCCAAGGAGTTGTTGATTTTTCTGGAGAAGGCGGACGCCGACTTCAAGGCACAGTGCAGCAGTCGGATGGTGCACGTTGCCGAACGGTACGCCACCTCGATCCGCTGGCGGCTGGATACGCTGCTGAGTGTGCTGATAGCGGTAGGTGCTTTCCATTGGTTCTGAGGTGCCAGGTAATGCGAACAGATCGTTCTTTATTCTAGGCTGGTAATTACGTGCGGGATGATGTCGTATCGTCCACAATTCAGCTTATTCTGAATAGTCCACCGGAAGAGCAGGCTTACATCGGACTCAGACTGTGGGATTCGCTCCACAATATCACCAATTCGTTCGAAGATAAACAACCCCTGTTACAGGTAGCCGTCTGGACCATTGGAGAGTACGGAGATCTATTGCTGAGTAGCGAGCGTATTGAAGGTAATGTTGGGTTACGATTGATTGGATGTTGTTAGAAGTCGCACCTAGACTAGCGTTAGGTCCCACACTCACACCCTGCAATTTATAACTCACAAGCCATCGGGTGAAATAGTAGTGCAACTGTAGTAGAACGTAGTTTCGTTTTCTGTTTCTCTCATTTCCGTGTAACCAACTCTAAACCAAAGATGTTGAAATTCCTGCAGAGAGTGAACTAGTGGAACTGTATCAGAAGTTGCTGTGGACTACATCGGTATCGACGGCCAGCAAGCAGTATGCGCTGGTGTCGCTGGCCAAGCTTAGCACGAGGATCCACTCGAAGGAAGAGTAGGTTTTTCCCGTGGGTATTGATTTATCGAAATCTATAGCTTATGTTTTATTCAGGGAAACTCGGGCGAAACAGATCATCGAGGCATTCGGTACTCATCTGCACATCGACCTGCAGCAGCGAGGTGTGGAGTTTTCGCAGCTCTTCCGTGACTACAGTCATCTGCGACCGGCGCTATTGGAAAAGATGCCAAAAATTCAGAAATCACTGTCAAATGGCACCGACGGTGGTGGTAGCGTCTTTGACGAGCACTCAAATAGTATTGATCTGATCGAAGGTGACGACATGGAGAGCAGCGGGTTGATGTCTCTTTCCATAGGAGGAGGAGGCGGAGGGGGAAGCCTAAAAGTGGGTTCGGATACGGTAGGATTGTTTTGCTTTAATTAATGTTTGGAAATTAAGAAATTGTCAATATTTTAAACAGAACGCCCTTCTGGATCTATTGGGTGGAGAAGGGGATGAACCGGCGGAAGGAATCGGCCTAGTTCCATCGACTAACTCCATCATTCCAACGACAACAGCAACCAACGGAAAGGCTCCGACGCCCGGCAGTTCCAACAATCAGGACCTGTTGGATCTGCTCGGAGGACTGGACATGCCGATCAGCACTCCACCGGCTGCGATTGCTCCTCTTGGCGGTGGCGGTGGAGGTATTGGCTTGGATCTTAATAGTCTGAATGATAACAGCATCAAGGCAGTCACAACGAGCACCATCATCAATGCTGTGGCTACTACTCCTGGAACCACGACGACGGGAGTCACGGGTTCTTCCTCATTTGGTGGATTGGAGAATCTACTGAATTCGAACTTGACGTCGCCAAACACGGCGGTAACAATTCCAACGGAGCTGGCTTCACCGACAGCCATCATCAATAGCAGTAGTACCGTCAATAGCCTTTTTAGCGATTTTTCGTCGATTAATAATAATGAGGTATGACTGAGGGGAGATAGAGCTTTGTTGCTTTCGGGAACTCAATTTTGATCTATAAACAATTGCAGGAGCACTCGAAAACTCTGACAGCCTTAGATAAGAACGGTCTACTGGTACAGTTGCTGGCAAAGAATAGCGGTGGATGTCTGCAGATCATGATGACAGCTGTAAATAATTCGTTAACCACGCTAGAACAATACTTATTCCAGGTAACGTTTGGGACGAACTATAATATTATTTTGATTCTAAATGGCCATCTTTCGCAGGCTGCTGTTCCTCGAAGCTTTACGTTACAGATGCTTTCGCCATCTGGGTCTACACTGCCGCCCGGTGGAACCATTACGCAGGAGATGCGAGTATCCAGCACTGCTAAGGTAAGCCTTGCTCGATTGTCAAACGGACAGTGCTAGCATACATACATGGAGTTAAAAATGGTCGAATACAAATATGGAATATTGCCCATAACTAACATTTAGGCAAGGTATCATGGAAATCGGTTAAGGTCGCCTGATCTATAAAGCGACAACTGGCATTGATCTATTACAAACAGTGTCTGTTTTTATCATTTACCATCACACGCAAATTGACCAATGCACGGAATGAACTGCACGAACAAATTTGACGTTTAAGCGGTGCCGTGTTTACTAAAAATGAACACATGAATAATGCTCGCGGAACATTTAAAAAGGGTCTATCAACTTGTTTACACAAAACTTGTTCAGCCTTTTTTTCGCGAACCGAAGTACGCCCACGCAAACAAACAACATCATTGGGTAGGGTTAATTGTTCCCTTCACGTTAGTGCCCTTGGTTTGTGTTGGCGTTTTTTTGGTTCGCGTGAAAAGGGCATAACAAAATGTTTAAAAAGTTTATAGGCCCTTTTCTAAAGTTACGCGTACATTACATCATATGTTCATTTTTAGTAAACACGGCACCGCTCAAACGTCAAATTTGGACGTGAGTTCATTCCGTGCATTGGTCAATAGTAGCGCTACAACCCAGTGTAGATGAATTGCGTTCGTTTTGAATATCTTCACTGTGACGTACGAGCGAAACGAACAAATGTGTTCATTATATATCAACGAATGCGCGTTTGATGATATTCACCAGTGCTTGATTATCCAACCCAAAATTGTCAAAATCGGCAGCGATCCTTAAAAGCAAAAAAAAAATCAAATTAATTTTAGGTTTTAGGATTAATTTTAACATTGCCGATCCACGAGCCTAAAACCTCGATATTATCATCAATTTAGCATGAGACAATAACTTTCCATCGATCTGTGTGTAAAAACCAACGCAACACGTTCTACAGCGCTATGTGTAAAATTGAAAATAATCATTTTGCATTTGATCCTCAAAATCACCCCACCAAGTGAAGACGAAAATTAATCTTTACAACAACACAGGCGATAATGAACATCCAGCCACGAATGAACAAAAACAAATGTTGACTTCGATACTCAGAGGTTGCCTTGATCAAGAGAATATATTTATGTCAAAATTCAAATTCATGTAGGTAGTTGGTCTATCTGGTAAGGTTGTCTTCAGTTTCAGCTAAGTTGAGCGTAGAAGAAATGATTTTTATCAGCACTGATGACAAATAACCATTATGTCAAACAATTTAATACCAAACGATTACATATACAATACGGGATAAATTACCAATGGGTTCAACATGTTTTCAGTAAAGAATTATATAAAGAAGTTTACGTTTTGATATTTAGAAGAAACGAGATCGGCAAAATGTTTTCTCATGTCATCGCCGATAATTTATAAAACTGAGTATTTAAAGAAGTTCAGAGAAATCAAAAGTATTTTGTAGAAGTCAAGAGCAATTCGTAAACGATCAGAGAACATCATTTGTTTTCAGAGCATTTCGTAAAAGTTCAAGGATTATTGTAGAACTTCTGATCCTCAGAAAACATCGTGCAAGTTCTGTTCGTGGAAGCTTTATTAAAGTGTAGCAAATTTTATAAGAGCTTTGCAAAACTTTTAGATGTTTGTAAAAGCTCAACGAACATCGTTGAACTTCAGTAAACTTGGGAGAAGTGCAGAGAATTTTATACTTCGATGATTTCATCACGTGAGCTGAATTTTTTATTGATGAGCCATCTTTTGAGGTTTGGGAAGAGAATAATAGCATAGAGGTAAATCTAAGATTAGAAGGTCCCGAAGAAACGTGCTCAACTTTTTGGTTCAGCTCTGGTACTCTCTTCGGTCCCAAGCTAATCAATGCACCCCTCGAAACATAGGAAAATCCACGAGCCCCTCATTTTATCTGTCAAACTTTCATAGCGAATCAAAACAAACATAGTGTTGTACTAGAATTTCGATGGGATACGTTGATCAATTTGCTTGGGATCAATAGGCTAGTCAAACAGTGAGCCAATTTAAAATCGTTAGTTTCGTATTGATTGTTGCTACAAGGCACCTTAACCTTTTTTGCAGTAGCAGCGCATTCTGGCGGTCAAGGAGGTTATTTTTCAGCCCACCTAGTAGAACCTCAGTTGTAGAATTTCATCAAATTTCATAGAAATTTAGCAAGATTTTAAGAAATTCAGCACATTGTGAGAAATTGGGGTAACTTCGTTGAAGTTCAGGATAGTTTTATTAACTTCATTGAACTACGTAAAACTTCAGGGATACAGTAAATGTTCAGGGGACCTCGTAAAAATTCTGGGAATTCAATAGAAATTCGTTGCTTCAGAAAACTGCGTAGAAATTCAGGGCGTTTTATAAAAATTCTTGAAAACTTCGTAGAAGTGAGAACACATTTGGGCAACTTTGTTGAAATTAAGGAAGCACCAAACAATGTTCCGGGATCTTTGTATAATTTCAGGGCACTTCGTTAAAGTTCAATGGATTTGGAATTGTACAGGGAATTCTATAGAAGTTCAGGAAACTTTGTAAGCGGCGCCGGTGGTGTAGTGGTAAGCGTGATTGCCTCTCACCCTAAAAGGCCTGGGATTTTCTGAGGCATAAAATTGCTGATCACGCTTTCACGAAGGGAAGTAAAGCTGTTGCCCCGGGTCCATGAGTTTATGGGTCGATATGTAGGGTCCAGGTGTCGTACTCAGTACGGAAAACAAGATCGACGGAAAACAAATCAAGGAGAAAAAAAGGAAACTTTGTAGGAATTCAGGATATTTAGCAGAAAATCAATGAAATTCTTAAATGTTCATGGAACTTCGAAGAAGTGCAGCGAATTTCATAGTAGTTCATCGAACTTTGTAGAAGTGCAAACTTCGTAAAACTTCATAGAAATACAAGCAATTTTGTAAAAGCATAGAAGTTCAAACTTTGTAGAAGCTCAGCGATCTTCATAGAAGCTCAGGGAATATCTTAGAACCTTAGGGATCTTTGTATTAGTTTAGGGACCATCGTAGCAGTTGGATGTTTTGGGAACTTCGTTTCATTTAGATGTTCATAGAAATTTGTAGAATAGGTTCAGGGTGTTTCAGGAAGTTTGGAGAAGTTCACGGATGCTCTGAGATCTTGGTTGGGTTAAGAGAGCTGCAGAAAAAAATGGAACTTAGATGAAGTTCAGTTGAATTTTTTCTAAAGGTAAGGGAACTTTGTAGATGTTCAGGGAACATTGTTAAAGGAAATTCGTACAAATTCTGCAACGTTGGTAAAATCTCAAAAATGATTATGCAAAAATAAACGTTGTAGGTGTTGATGAAACTTCCCAGGAGTTCCCGGAAATGCTCACAAATTCAGGAAACTTCATAGAGTTCAATGGATTGTTAAGAAGATCAGAACTTCGGATGAGTTCAATGGATTGTAAATAAGATCAGGGAGCTTTGTTTGTGTTCAATGAACTGATTTAAAGATTAGGATATTTTGGGGAAGTACAAGAACCTTCGTAAAAGAATGGGGAATTTCGAACCATTTTAGAGAACATCGTTGATATAAGATTTAAATGCCGTCCCCACATATCCTCCCAAGACTGTTGGTTGAACAAATATTATCATGTGAATTATTTGAAAGATCTCCAGCTGATCAAAAATTTCAATAAAGCTTTCTGGTTAATTTTTCACGAGTTCAGGTTGATCAAGATGATGATCTGAATATCTTCAACTGTTCAAATGCTGTTTCTCACATTTTCTCCCAAGACGGCAGGTTGTTCAGAATGCATTCAAAAGATCTTTAGTTAATCTAAGATTTGATTAATGTGCTGTGGATGTTCAGGTTTATAATCTTCTTCTTATTCTTCTTCTTCTTCGCATTTCAAGTTAATTGCTTATCGCATAAAGCTTATTGCGTGCTCTCAACTTAGTGTTCTAGATGCACTTCCACAGTTATTAATTGATTTTGATGATTAATTGGCTTTCGATGTCTGCCATTTTTGCATTAGTATAATTCTCGCGTCACTTTTCGAAAGGTCCTAAGTAACAAATGTAAACAAATCGAGTTAAGCGATACAAACTATTGCTCTTCTATCAATGTAGGTATGTGATACAAAAACACCCATCCAAATTTACTTTCATTTATTTAAGATAATCATAGGTAAAAAAATTTCCAATGTACAGTTTGAAATGATGGATACATAATTGTTACCTCGGTCATTTGGACTGCTTATTGTTTTCTGAAGGCGGGGCCAATCTAAAGTTAGGTATTCTACCCTGAAATCTGTGAAAGGGAATCTAGTATCATGTAGAACAAAACGTCCGTTGTAAAAGTCCGGTGTACAACTTGTAGTCAAAACGTTCTATGTTTTTTTTTTCTATATTGTAGCATGAAATTAATATTAAAATTGTGATTTTACCGTTTCTACTGAATTTTCAACGTTATTATCCACTGACTACATTCAAAATAGTATTGTTAAATGTATTGTTTCTAAACAGTTAAAATAATAATCTGTCGAACTTCAGCTTCGATTTTCTCAAAATGACGGATATGTTACATTGGTCTATTTGAAAAGTAACGCGAGAATTGTTTGGCAAGTACAATCTTATATGCCCAGCGAAGTCGTGTCATTTTCCTGCCCGAAAAATTCCTAAACCAGGCCAGGAATCAAACCCAGCCACCTCCAGCATGGTTTTGCTTTGTAGCTGGGCCTTTACCGACTGAACTAAGGGAGGTCGGGCAGGTATCATTCTTTAAAACCATTTGCAAGAAGGAGCCTAACGAATCTATGATAGAAGGTCGGAAGACAATAGGTCGAAAGACAAAAGGTGGAATGAACCAAATGTTGAAGGAACAAAAGGTCGAATGAAAATTAATGGGCAAAATGGACAAAACGTCGAATGGAAAAAGGTCAAAATGGATTGAAGGTCGAATGAACAAAAGGTCGAAATGGATAACAGATAGAAATGGAAAAATGTTGAAGAGACAAAAGGTCGAAATATTTTTCGAGCAAATAACTATTCATGTTACAAAGAAGAAGTTAACTCCAAGTGAGAGAAACAACATTCGAACATTTTCAGTTGTAGTGTTCACTAGTTTTTATAAGTCTAAATACTTCTCATGTTATAAAGAAGGAGTCAACTTCAAGATTGAGATAATTTTCGAGCAATTTCAGCCTATTTGCTCAATAGCTTTTATCTGCCAAAGAACTGCCCTTGTTTTAAAGAAGGAGTTAAATCCAAGTGAGAGAAATAACTTTCGAGTATTTCAGTTGAGTAACTCAAATCCTAAGCTTGATTTGGGTACTTGCTTTACTCAGCATATGCCTTTTTGACCTGTTATTCTTTTAATTTTTTGATTTAATAAAAGTGATTTGACCTTTTGACCTTATCATCATTTTAAGCATTCGACCTTTATATCATTCAATTTCATTCGACCTTTGTCCCTTCGATTTAGTGCATTTCGATCTTTTGTCCATTTCGACCTTTTGTCCATTCGACATTTTGCCCTTTCGAATTTCATTCGACCTTTTGTCCTACAACCAAGTCCTACCAATCATAGAAAAATCCTAATTATCATAATGTTATACCAAACGATGTCCTTTTTGCTCGAATGATTTGTTACATTTTCCCTTCCCCGAAACATCCCAAACAGGCCACCCTCCGGATGCGACTGCGGATATCCTACCAGTGCGATGGTAACCCGATTCTGGAACAGACCGAGGTGTCCGGTTTCCCCGAGGAGCAAACACCGCTCGAATGAGGTCCGAATTGGAACGTAAACATTACGGTCAAATTTTAGTTTGCTTCTGCGGCCCGTTCCGCGCGTTCGGAACCACCGTCGGGCAAGTGCGGACACTGAGAATTTAAGTTTCGGTTATTTTTCTCTGTCATGTGAGTTTATATATTTTTAAGTAATTTAGGGACAATTTTTAAATAATTTCTAAACAATTGTGACAAACAAACAAAAATCGTCAGTCCTTCCGATCTACTCTAACTGGATGAAAAAAAAATAAGAAAAAAAGATTGTTTATTTGCGGGAAGAAGCAACTCTCAGAAAAGAAAACTAGTTAACTAACCCCTTAAACTGCTATGAATTATATTCAAAAATTATAAATCTATATGAAAAAAAAAAATGCAAGTAACAGAAAAAAACACTACTAGTGAGATAGATAATATATAATTAAGGAGCAATTGGTAGCACGATCGCGTGAGTGTGTGCGTCTAGTGTGTGATCGGGTCGAGTTGAGAGAAGCTGTAAATATTACTACTAAACTGAAAGAGAAGCGATATTATTATTACCCTAGAATCGGTTCGTGCACGTAAGAAACCCCAAGTTTTAGGTAAACAGGTGATTCGAGGAAAAGTTGGCTCAAAAGACCTTATGAAATGGTGTTGTTAGACAGAAAGACTCTCTCTTTATCTCCTGGAGCCTCTTAAAAGCATGTTGAAAGTATTTCGAACGCGACTCTTGTTTTATCTTGGTTTTACGTTTTGCTTTTATAGTGTGTGACTTTTCGTGACAAACATGTGACAACATACTAGAAGCAAGTGTACTGTTTTCCGTCCAAATGAACCCAATTCGATGCATGAAGTGTGTGAATAATGAAAATTAAAATGATGAATGAGAAGGCATGAGATTAGCAACATTTTCAGCTTTCCCATGTTATCTCCAACTTGCTTGAAAAAAAATATATAGCAATGCTCTAAAGTGCAAAAGTTTCGCTTTCTAAAATCAAACTTTTTATGACTTAAGTTTCTATATACCCCACCTCTCTCTCACAAACAGCAAAGGACAATATCTACTTATTTATAAATCAGGTTAGGTTCTGTCAAACCTCTTTTTTTCTTTTGGGATTGCGAAAGGGAATTTCTAGCTCGTTTCGGCTCTACCCGTTACTCTTCAAGAAGAACAACAAAACAGTATTTTTGTACCATGAGAGAAATTAAAGAGCAGAAATGAAAATTAGGCTCGGATTCTGCTGCGAGACAACACGTTGATAAGCGGAAGAATGATATAAGCAAAGTAATAGAAACTGAAAACTAAACTAATTGATATGAAGTAATAGGGCTTAGAGTGTAAGTAACCTATCGAGGGCCGAACATTTGAAAATAGTGTACGACGAGATACCGGGTGAAGAACGCTAAGTGAAAATTGTGTTCGGTTAAACTCCCCCTGAACAGTTGTAAGAGGTGATGAACCGTTGAACAAACTCGGGAAGGAAGCAAAAAAATAATAATAGAGCAGTGGAAACAGCTATAAATATATGTATAATACACACAGAAACTCGATTGTAATATGAAGGATCATCTTTTTGAACGCGTCATTTTCTTCTCTTTCAGGGATGTCTGAAGAAGAGAAAACTAAAACAGCCGAAACGTCCATTTTTTGGGTTGCAGATTCTTTCGGTCCGAGGCAAGTGACGTAAGTATTCTTGTTTTATGTTTTTTTTTATATCATAAAAATAAGACGAATAGGGGAAAAAGGATCAGGGTTGTTTGTTATCCAACTTCTTATGGCGTGGATTGGTTAATCATATGTGTTCTGCAGCGGCCAGGATCTAATTTTGCTGAGGATCTAAAGATTGAAGCGATCGAGACTTTTTTTTTTCCTATTTTCACAAATTTTTCTGGGTAAGCGAGTCATACAAGTAGTTATTTTTGGATCCTACTGAACAAATTATCTGATTTCATGTTATCAGGGTGTCTACTAACTAAAAAAAAAACAACAAGGGACAGCCCTATGGGGGTTGTACGCAATGATGACGTAGGACTACGTGGTCTTATATAATAAATCTTATTTGTTAACTGCAGCAGAAGCTCGTATTTTGTGTAGGAATAGGAATTTGAGTGGGGTTCTCTCTGTTTATACTCTTTAGTATGGCGCGCTTGACATAGATGGCCCACAGCGACTCACGAAGAGCTACTGATTCCGATCAGCAGCGGTGCGGCTTCTTCCTCCTTCTATGGGTGCTCATGTGAGACGCAGCTCGCTGCTTGCAGGCAGCCTTTCGTTGTGTACTGGAGAACAATGTTCAACGCCACGCGTCGAAAGCACTGTTGATGCTGCTGCTGCTGGTGCCCACGACCGGAAACCAAGGTTGCAAAGACTCATTTCAGCTAAAACAATGTTTTTCTAAATTATGAAATAATTAGATGCCATGATCAAATTTTGAATTGGTAGGATACAAGAAGAGGTTGCAAAGAATGTGTTTGACATATTAAACCTGTTTATTTCACTTCATGAGAGTCACAATCAGCGATTTTTCACAAACTCACTCACTCACTCACTCACTCACTCAGCGATCAGCAAATCGCTGATTGTGACTCATAGAAAGCAAAATTTACAGGTTTTATGTTTCCAACGCATACTTTGTACCCTCTTCTTGTAAGATACAAGTAAAACATGCCATCATACCATCTTTTGGTTTTATTATTCCGAAAAACATTATTTTAGCTGAAATGAGTCTTTGCAACCTTGCCGGAAACCACTACACACGGTGATTGGAACTGAATCCGATCAGCGGTTGAGGTCAGCTGCTTGTTGGGAGCCTTTCATTGTGTACTGGAGAACACCACCACTCACCACACGGTGATTGAATAAACACCGTTTGCTGAGATCGGATGGAATTCACTTTTAAATCTGTGATAGGAAAATCGCTTTTCGCAGACAATCGGTGATAATTTTAATTACATTTGTGCAATTTTCAATAGTGAAATTTTGAAAAATGAAAATGAAAATGAAAAAAAGTATTAAATTTAACAGATGCGTAGAAATATTTCTGATCGATTGGTGATAAAATTATTGAAATTGGTCCAGGGGCAGCTGAGTTATTAATGTTCAAAATCTTTCATAATTGTGTTATAGTTCCATTTTCGGTTTTCACAAAGTGTGACCTCAAATAGAAATCACAGACGTAGTCCTACGTTAAAAACCGGCCCCCCTATTCTGCGAGTCACGTGACTCTCTCTCACCGGCGAGGTGACAATAGTCACCTCGTGTGAGGTGACTCTCCATTTGATTTACATGGAGAGTCACCTCACACGAGGCGACAATTGTCACCTCACCGGTGACAGAGAGTCACGTGACTCGCAGAATAAGGGGGAGGGTGGTCACCGAACCGGGAAAACCGGCAGATAACCGAAAATTGAAAAAGTACCCGGGAAACCCGAGAAAACCTCGGGAATTTGATCGATGATCCGGGAAAATCATTTGAAATATGATTATCAAAATTATAGTAAATGAATGTTCCATTCTTTTATGTGGAGTATCATTACTAATGAAAGAGTTTTGTTTTTTTAATTGTACTCAAACTATTTAGCAGCGTTCAGAAAATCATTCACAAATCTCATCCTTTGAGCTCTCCTAAGAGAATAAACTCGCATGCGAATCCACAAACTAAAACTCATGCTTGAGAGTCTCATGCATTTTCACGCACTCACAATCAATCAATGTTCAGCCTACAAAGCAAAATCCGAACTTTTTTTTCGAGAGGATTTTTAGACAAAATAGATTGCTTCTACTACAGATTACTTCTGGAATTCTGAGTAGGATTCAAAGTAAATTTACAAAATAATTCTGTGGACCATTCCATTCCATTTTTTCTAGATTTGTTTTTCATCGATCTTGTTTTCTGTACTGAGTACTAATGCTACCGACACCAGGGAGGCAGCTCTTACACCTGGACCCTACCTATCGACTCATCATCAACGCATGGACCGGGTACCAACGGTATTACTTCTCTTCCGAAGAAAGGCGTGATCAGAGATTTTATGCCTCAGAACATCCCGGCCGCGCCGACTGGAATTGAACTCAGGCATTCACTGCAAAGTTATTTTGTGGAGACTTTTCTAAAGGATTTTTAAGAAGAACTGAAAGTGAATTGTAAGGAGAACTCCAAGGTGCTTGTAAGTATAGTGCCAAGTAAAGAAGGGGAACGCAAATATAGTTCTGAAAATAATTCAATGCAATCATCTTTGGAGATCTCAAAGATGAGTTCCTAGGAAATTCTGAGTTCCATTTCAAAGAATTCACGGAATCACCCCAAGAAAATTCTGAGCAGAATATAGAGGAAATTACTATGGGTAAGACAGCTTTTGATCATGAATAATATTGGAGTTTTGAGTAGCTCTGAGTAACTCGAGTTGCTCATTATTGAATGCACGGTAGAACAGCCCCCTGTTTTGGTGTGTTTTTTCATACTGAATCACTATCCTTAAATCACATAATATTTGTACCTTTTCTGCACCCTACTAAGTTTCGTGACTGGACCGAGGTTTCCAGCCTCGGACACGGTTCCACGAATCTGCTGCTCCTGTTGGTTCGCTAGTGCCGCTATCCCTTCTGCTGGTGGTCGTTTGCTGGTCGTCCGCTCTCTCCAAAGTCCGTCATAAGGCTACTGTCAACGAGCTTAGGTACTTCATATTTATACTAGCTGTATCAAAATTCCCGAACCAATCAGATTCTGTTTACAAATGGTCTATCAAGCTTCACGGTCATTAGATTCTACTCATTTTTACCACACTAACTCTATCTACTACATTCTTCCCCTCTCCTACTCTCCTTAATTGAGGATCGGGGGCAATTTATCAACCCTCTCGGGGCACTTTATCAACCCTTCTTGGAGGAATTTCTTCTAGCTTCTCGGAGGAATTTCTTATAACTTTTTGGAGGAATTTCTTCTACCTTCTCGGAAGAATTTCTTCTACCTTTTTGGAGGAATTTTCTCTACCTTCTCGGAGGTATTTCTTCTACCTTCTTGGAGGAATTTCCTCTACCTTCTCGGAGGAATTTCTTCTACTTTTTCGGAGGAATTTCTTCTATCTTCCGGAGGAATTTCTTCTTCCTTCTCAGAGGAATTTCTTCTACCTTCTCGGAAGAATTTCTTCTACCTTTTTGGAGGAATTTCTTCTACCTTCTTGGAGGAATTTCTTCTACCTTTTCGGAAGAATTTCCCTCTCGGAGGAATTTCTTCTACCTTCTTGGAGGAATTTCTTACACCTTCTCGGAGGAATTTCTTTTACTCTGTCGGAGGAATTTCTTCTACCTTCTTGGAGGAATTTCTTACACCTTCTCGGAGGAATTTCTTCTACCTTTTCGGAGGAATTTCTTACACCTTCTCGGAAGAATTTCTTCTACCTTTTCGGAGGAATTTCTTCTACCTTTTCGGAGGAATTTCTTCTACCTTCTCGGAGGAATTTCTTTTACCCTCTCGGAGGAATTTCTTCTACCCTCTCGGAGGAATTTCTTCTACCTTCTTGGAGGAATTTCTTACACCTTCTCGGAGGAATTTCTTTTACCCTCTCGGAGAAATTTCTTCTACCTTCTCGGAGGAATTTCTTCTATCCTCTCGGAGGAATTTCTTCT